TCAGGTGCTGAGCAGCAGGGAAGGGGGCACGCGGAGGCCCCTGGAGATCTGTGGGGGAGGAGCAGGGCTGCGGGGGGCTCTGCAGGGCCCTGTGGGGAGGATGCCAGCCCCCTGGTGTGGGGCAGGGGTGGGGGTCTGCTCAGGGAGGGGCCCAGCCTTTGAGTGGGGCTGGCTGGGGCAGGCCAGCTCCGTTTCCCGGATCTGGAGCGGGGCTGGGCCCTTGCGGCCGCTTCCAGGCTGCGGGCAGTTGCGCCGCGGATGGATGCGGTGTCCTGACCCGCCGACGTGTTGTGGGCGCTCTCTCGCAGCCTTTCCTTGGGGCCTGACCCAGATCGCAGTGTTCAAGAAGGGTTATCAGCACATGTTAGGAAACAGGGGAATTAATTCAACCCAGACTTTAAAAAGCTTGCGATTCGAGTAATAAACTCTAAATGGCAGCCCTTTTTTGTTGCTTCTTGTGTTCTTTATCAAACATTAATCTGCTATTAAAAGCAAAGGCTTGAGGCCGAGTACTTGGTATCAACATGGGCAGCGCGCTGAGGAGGAGAGGCCTTTTGTAGTGTCTAGTTAATTTTCTTTCTTTTCTAGCTCCTATTTCAACTGCTTTTTAGTTTTTTTTTTTCTGCCTTGGTGATGTAAGTGAAATTAATGCAGCATCTCAGTGTAGTCATTTATCCAGGCTAAATGTGACCACATGAGTGTGTTTCTGTATAATTAGTCAGGGGGCTCGATATAGGGTTTATGTTGTGTTAGCCCTCTCTGCTGCTAGCAGTAACTTCTCCATAGCTTGCTGCCATAGAGCCTGCTAGTGCAAAATGAAAGCACCCAGCTTTCATTTTGACTCAGCAGCGTAAGTTTGGGGAGAATGTTTTGGCTCATGTGGCAGTGGTGCTTTTGACTCAGTACCAGGAACTCAGCAGCTTGATTTGTTGCACCGCAACACATAAGTGGAAGGAACTGTCACCAATTTACTTATAATCTGGGGTGGAGTGAGCAGAGCTCTTCCTGGGTGAGCTATAACACTGCTGGAGCTGTTCTTTCCAGGGTTTTGAAATGCTCTGAGGCAACAACAAAAGGGAATTTTCGTGATCTGGACTCAAGCTATTCCTGCTTGTCAAGGGTTATGGTAAACCCGTGATCCTGGCCAGGGCAAGGATTTTGAACTGTGCATTTGCTTTCTTCCACCTTTACAGAGCACCTTGAGGGATGCCCAAGAAGTTCCAAGGTGAAAATACCAAGTCGGCTGCTGCCCGCGCAAGAAAAGCTGAGGCAAAGGCAGCAGCCGATGCCAAACGCCAACAGGAGCTGGAAGATGCCTACTGGAAGGATGAAGACAAACACGTGATGAGGAAGGAACAAAGGAAGGTGAATTGCTAGACAGGTAGAAGGGGAACTTCTAGCTGATCTTATGCTAAGCCCTTGAATTTCAAGCTTACTTACAATGTTACTTCTCTTCCTCTGTCCCAAAGCTGCGACTGTCTCTCCAAACCTTGCCCTGCACTTAGTTTTCAGGCAAAAAAGCTGGAATTGGTATCTTCTCTGGGAACTAAAAGAAGCAGAGCGTGGGAGTAAGTGTAAGCTTTGACGCGTAATTCAGAGATCCTATAGATCTTAGAGCTATGTTCCCGAGGGAGACAGAAAAAGCTTTGTTGTTGGAATCATTTAAAATTGAATTAAGGGATCAGAAGTGCTGCTGTAGGGCTTGATTTTTGACTAGGCAGGTCTTCATCTTTTTTATTCCCCTTTCTTTTCTTTTTCCTTCACCAAAATCAAAAGAAAGTTACCAACAGAGTTAAATATAAAAAGGTTTTCCCTGCCACTTGGTGTGCCACACGCTGATATGTCTCAAAAACTCTCTCAGGTTTAGTCTTATCAGCCTGCTCCACCCTGGGCACACGTTTGCCTAGGCGTTCAGTAAACACAATAGTTCAGTGTTAATTTCTGTTATTTGTTTTTGAATGTTGTTCTAATATACCTTCCCCATTATATTTCCTGTCTCATCCTGATCTGACTTACCAGAATGAAACTGCAAAAAAAATCAGTAAGCTGCATCTGCATCAGTGCTCCACAAATCTAGTTTCTGGTTTTGTTGATTTTTCTAGCAACACAATGTTTGGTGACAACTCAGCTTGCTTTTCCAAAACAACTTGTTTATCCTCGTGCTATCTAGACAGGAGTTTGGCTGACGTCATCAATGGAATTTATGGGGTTACTGGTTTTGCGCTGCTTAAGTTCTATGACTATAAGCTCTTTGGTGCTTATTGAACTCTGTGTGTTGCTGCTTGAGCGCACTGGCCAAGCAGCAGGCAGGAAGCCAGCATGTCCCTGTGACCTTGATAGCTCTGTGCCGTGTACCTTTGTTCGAATTCACCCCCTAATATGTGTCTTGACAATTGGAATTTGTTGTCTTGTGCGTTGTTCCCAAATGCAATCCTGTAATGCTGTCTAATTACTTCTTGGAACAAGGTCTTATTGCTGTTCTGCTTAGGATCTTGCCAACACTGACCTATTTTAATGGTCTTCTAAAACAACCTCCTGCAGGCAAGGGGCATGGGAGTTTTGAATGGGCAAACTGTGTCGTGAGCTTGAATTGTTAACTGCAAAGTTAGGGTCCACGTGACAGCCTCAGACTGTGTTTCAGGAAAGCCAGCGAGGTGGCTTTCACTCGATGTTTCAGCTCCTCTCACTATTCCATGCTTCACTGGCTGCCCTGCAGGATTTCTGGCCTTTCTTAAAAAGAGACAGAGTGCAGTAAGGATCTGAGAGAGTAATTGCTGCCAGGCTGCTGTGCGGGAGCAGCGCCTGCCCAGCAGTGGGGTCAGGCTGTGCTCAGGAGCTTGGCACTTGGCAGGGTTAGACCAGCTGTAGGGGTGAGGTCAGCCCTGCTGCATCCTTTTTCTTCCCCATGTGACTCTTACAGCATGTTGATGCTTACTGAATAATTTATCTTCCCTCCAACGAGAGCTCACCCCATCCCTTCACCACTTGGGTTTGTGAGGCTCTCCCTAGTGAAATTTTAACCTTATCGGAGAAGTAAAGAAGGAAAACCGAGTGCGAGCCTGGCAGTGGGTGGCTCAGAGCGTGCAGCCCAGCTGGAACTGGATGCACATGTGTGCAGGTGGACAGCTCTTCTCCCTCAAGGGCCACTGTGGTGAGACCTTCCACCAGGAATTCATCAACGTAGCCGTAGTCTCGAGGTCTGACTCCCACCTGAGTGCTGTGTTTTAGTACGTTTGCCTCACAGGAACCCCCTGCGGAGCTGCAGCTCACAACAGCAAGCGCCTCCCAACTCAAATGGAAAAGCTGTCCTACCAGAAGGACTCCAAGCACAACTGTACCTGTGCAGGGGCTCTTCCTTCTGTGGGTGCATCACACAGGGCTGGGGGGTTTAACCCATGGCACTGCAAGAACTGGAGCAAAGGCTGGACGTTTGTGCAGATGAGTACGTGGCCAGCAGGCAAGCATGAGTGGGTTGTTGGAAAAAGCAGTGAAACTTCTCCAGTGCTTCTCCAGTGCCATCAGGCCTGGAACATCTCCACAGAGAACATCTCCACAGAGAACAGAAGAAGCTGCCCCTGTCCCGTGGTGTCCCAGCAGGGAAGGGATGTGCAAGTCAGATTGTAAATGGCTTTCCATCCTCATCTTAGAGGAGAACAGAAGCCAAAGTGTTCACAAGAATCAAACTTCCTTGGATAAGTAGCAGTTTCACGGGTGGTGCTGGCATGGAAATATCCCTGCTGGCCACAGCCATATGCTGTAGGAGGGACTTGTGTTGCTCTCCGTTACAGCACGCAGAGGAGGATATTACAGTATGTGTAGGAGGATGTTCTCAGCATCTTGTGGAGTCCGTGCTAGAGCAGCTCTTCCGCAGCTCTCCAGGCGATGGCGGTAACACATTAACTGCTCTGCAGCAAGCTGCGTGCATCACCTCTGAATTCCTGCATAATAAGGAGGCAGGAATTAATGCCTTTGGAACATTACCCAGCAGGACATATGTTAGAACCAAAACTTGCATGCCCCTTTTAATCCCTTTCCCCCCAGCAGATGACCAGCAAAGCCTCTGTGAAATAAATTAGACTGTAACCCTCTATTTCTGTCAAGCTGCTGCCTCACCAGACCATTTCAGGGTGTTGTGGCTGTGTGTGGCAGTCTGGTGGTCTCACTTGAGCAGTAGTGACACATGTTGTGGTGCAATGTTAATATTTGGGTATAGGGAAGCTCAGAATGCAGTGCCTTGCTGATGTGATGTTCATTGTCACCGGATGATGACTGTCCTGTTTCCTTCAGCTGTGTTTGGGTTTTTTTTTGTTTTTTTAATCTTCCCCCTCCTGGGCTCTGAGATCAGTTTTTGGGGCTGATCTCTGCTAACAGAGATTGACACTCATTTAGTGGCTCTGTGATGATGCCTAAAGGACCATCTGAGCTAATATTACTAGACTGCAATACGTGTATTCCTTCTCCAGCACTTCAGCACGAGTCATAGTTTGTTACCTTCCCTGGAGAACTCTGGCTGGAAAGCACAAAATCTACTTTGTTTTTGTTGAAAGGCTCTGGGTTTTACCTCGATAATGCTGCTCTTTTAACGTTCAGGTATCTTCAGCCATCCTTTCTTCCCTCTCCACTCTTCATATGCAAAGTTAGACTGCCAGCTCAGAGGATGCCACTCCTAATCAGCTAGATCAGTGTGTTTCTTTCTCTCTGTGCAATTAGCTAAAGTGGGTCTGGTGGTGGAATAACCACAGATGCATTCTGGGTGAGGCTGCAGGCAGACTTGGAAGGGTGACAAACCATTAAATAGGCTGAAGCGTTACGGGAAGAGAGGACTAGTGGAGCCTCTGTCAAGGGCAGCGTTTGCGGCCCATGAGCAGCCATGCTGGGCAGAGGTCTCCCTGCAGGATTCAGACCTTGCTCTCTCTGGCGGCCTTGCGTTTAGCTGTGTGCCCTGTGGTTGTGCATGGAAACATCTCACTGGTTGGGACTGCTGCTGAGGTTGAGATGAAACGCGTCCAATGGAAGAACACAGCCAAGTTCCTGGTCTCCTTCCCAGACTCCTGCCTGGGCTGTCTGGCTGAGGGAAGACAAGCCCTTTTACCCATTCCGGCTGTATTTTGTCTGAGCTATGTTTTTTGAGTGCCCTGATTTTGGAGACTCCAGGAAACCAGTTGCTTGCTGTTGTTCCCCAGCTGCTCAAAACCTCTCTCCACCTTTACCCAGCATGTTGTGGTGTTGGCAGTGCTATATTGCTCCCCTGCATTGGAGGTCTCTCCTGTGGCTTTGCTTGGTGCTGCTCTGTGGGAATGGAAAAGAGGGCGTATGGATCATATGGGAGCAAGGAGGCCTTCCATGCTAATGTATGAAAGGTCTGGGGAAAGATTCAAGATAAAAGCAGGGTGAGTAGTTGTACTAAAAGAATTCAGAGAGCCCACAAGAGAGCAGTGACTGTTTCAGTATCTGGGTTTTATGTCTTTATCGTTCCTGTTAGCCTCCGTTTCAGGGTATGGGGTGGCAGGCTCTATACACGGACAGGTCCAAACTGCAGTGGTATCACAGGCAGGCGAGCAATGACTTTTTTTTCTCCCCTCCTCCTCTGATTCAGTTCAGAATTACTTAGCTGTGAGCACCAGCTCTTACTCGGATGAAATGTTAAACAGATCAAATGACTGTTCTCTCCTCTTTGGAGGACGTCTGTGTGGTACAAGCTTCACAGTACCGAAATCCAATGGCTTGAATGAGAAATGCAGGGGACAGTGATGTAGTGGAAAGAGCACCTGATGATGTAAGGCTGGGGCTCAAACCCCACAACTGACTTCCTCTCTGGCATCCCCGTGATGTTTACCTTGATTTCCTGTGGGTCCGAGAAGAGGTGTGTTTGGTCTTGCCTGAAAGCTCTGGTCTACCTCAAGAGAGTCCTGCAAGTGCTTGGACGTAATCCAGATCGCTTGTGTACCTCTTTCCTTCTGACTGCGTCAGGTTTTGCATTGCGTCGCCCTTCTGCCGTGAGAAGCGGCGCGCTTTGCCGTGCTGGCGTGCTCCAGCATTCCTCGGGCTTCATGCTGAGAGGTTGATTGGGAGCACTGCTGCTTCAATTGACCGCTTGCTCTCAAAGCCATGTGCGTGGGACCTTGTTCTCCTTCCGTCTAGCAGGTGGGAAGCTGTTCTGGAAGCTAATAAGTTGTTCCTTGCTCAGACGGTTCTCTGCAAGGCTGGAAACTAGCATTTTATAATACAAATCCTTGTGAACAGAAATGTCCGGCTAAAGAAATCTCACCCCCTGCTTCTTCTAGTGTCCTGCTGAGTGTAGCAATGTTGAGTGAGAAAATTACTCATTTCCCTTCTCATTTTCTAATAGCTTTGCTACGTGTTTCATTTACAGAAATTCAAGCCTCCGTTTCATCAGGATGCTTGAGCTGATTCATGTCAGTGATACAAAGGATTGGTTTGGTTTGGCCCAACCTGAGAAAAGTTTTCAGAAGTGATTGCTTCAGGGCCCCTTGTGCTTCAGGATTAGAGATAAATTATGCATGTTGTGCAAGAGAAGTGCTGTGTGGAGCTGAGACATCAAGGTGACGATCTACACAGATGCATCGTTTGCCCACAACCTCGTCTCTGTCTGGAGAGAGGCCTTCTGTGAAGGATGCATCTTGACCTCTGCATTACAGCAGCCCATTAAGAAAGCCACCAGGAGTAGCTCTGGGGTGCTGGCTCTGACGTTTTCAGGGCTTTGTGCTCAGTCGCTTGCATGCAAGCTTGATTACTCCATTTCAGTTCCTGGTCCTGCCTGTTTGTGCAGACTGCTCAGGGCGGCTGCGGCCTTGTGTACTTTTGAACACGAGGGAAGGCGCAGTGATGGTCTGCAGGGAAAGTGATGGTCTGCAGGGAACCTGAGCGTGTAGATCTTGCAAGCCTTGTGACAAATTAGTAACGGTGCAGGCGTATTTACTTTCCACAAATAGAAACTCAATTGTAAATGCCAGAGAGTAGCTTACTCCCATGGCTAGAGAAGGGAATTGGAGGAGAGGAGAAGAGTAACTAGAGGTCCTCTGCAGCATCAAGTGCAAGAAGGTGGCTCTGTGCCCTGTTTGCATCTCCATTTCCTCTTCATTAAGTGGATGTGTCCTATCTGGAGAGTTTTATTTGAAAGGAACTAAGAGCAGCAGAGTATTATCCTTGAATTTCTGCACTGTCAGATCATCATCCCAGATGGGGCTGTGTGGTGTGAAACAGACTGCTGAGTTAGCTGGCTTGTAGGACAGTTCTCCTGTAATAAGCAGGGGTAAAAGATAAGCTTCTCCAACTATAAATAACATTTCTGTTCTGAAGTATCTTGCTCTCCTCCCTTAGGTCATTAGTACTTGTGTATCCGCTCTTTTATCTGCCTGCTGAATTATGCAAACCACAGCCAGGCCTGTAGCCTTGCTAAGGTGTTCCCTGTGCCAGCAGTTTCTTTGGGTTACCTTGTTCAGTCACACCTGGACCTCAGACAGGAAGAGCAGGAAGGGGACAATTTCTCTTTACAGTAATCCATGTTCTAGACGCGATGCCAGTATCCTGAAAACACAACGCTGCTTCTCCTGCATGTGCTTTGCATCTAATTAAATGACTTAGTCTTTCTGCATGCTGCATGTTCAGTGACTTCTGCGGGGAGAGCTCTTGCAAATCCCACTCTGACAAGCGTTGCCTCGGAGGGAGCAACGGGTGACCAAGCGGTCCCCTCACTGTGCTATTTCATCCATCTGCCCAGCGTCATCATCCCTGAGCTGCGCGCAGCCTGCTGATGTGTTCCCTTGTGGGACCCAGCACGGCTGCTGGAGTCCTTTCACAGTCCCCCTAACCTTAACCCAAGTTTCTGACCCTCCTGTGAACCAAGGCACGTCCATGAGCCTGTTAAAATTTTCCATGGTGAAGCTTGACATTGTTGCTGGGAGCCTTTGGAGCTGGCACCTCCCGCGGTGCTGCTGGCTCCTCTGGCGCTCTGCGCCGGGCAGCTGGTCGCTCCACCTCTTCCCCTGGCAGCCCCTAGAATCAGTTTCTGCTTCTCTGTGCGCATTCATACTGGCAGCAGAGCCCTGTAAGCTTTAAAAGATTTGCTGTCCTCTTGTGGTCTTTTACGAGGTGAAATAGAATTGCAGCACTCGGCGACAGGTTTGTTGAGTCACCCAGGGCAAAGAGGGGAAAGCGTGTGGCCCTCTTTGTTTTGGCACAATAATCTCTTCAGTCTCGTTGCTTCTCCTACTTTCCTCCTTAAAACTGCGTGGTGTTCAAGTAGATTCTGGTGGCTGAGCTGGAGATCCTAGCTGGAATTGGAGCTATCCTATGCTGTGTAAAATGAAGATGGGTACAGGAAGGAAAGCACCTGTGGCTGCCCTTGCCCAGGTATATTTTTGTGTATAAACTGTTAGTGCAAAGTCCCCCTCCCCTCGTGTGACACCCCTCCAATCCAGGAGTGACTATAAGTCCCTGCTAATCTGGGAGGTTCAGTAACTGTGTTTGCTCAGTCTTTACTAAAAGAGGGAGGGGCCCAACAGGAAAGCAGTGGGTACGAGTAAATGAGTTGGCACTTGGATGTCACGCACGGTCCAGTTACCGTGGCATTGCAACTCAAGGCACTAGCACTAAGCACTTAATGACCACGAATTTGAAGCCTGCCAATTGTAATGAAAGCTTTGTCCCTGTAATGGCTTTTTTCCTATCCTTGGTCACAGTTGCTTGGAAGTGGAGGTAGGCAAGTCTTCCCCTCCTCAATCTGGATTGAAAGGCTTAGTCCTTATTGTGGTTGATGGAAGCAGCAGCCGTGGGGCATGTTTTGATTGAGTATTTGTGAGCTTCCATACTGTATTTTGATGGGTTTTCCTTTAAATGATTGAGCTGTGGAGCAACTTGCAATTGTTAAGTCTCACCAGCCTAACCCTAACCCCAGCCTTATTTACTGTCTCTGAGCGGGCCCTACCCTGGTGTGTATAATTCTGTTCCTACTCCTTAAACACCGATGAACAAAGCAGCTTGTGTTACTACTGCAGTTGTTTTGCTGCACAGCTTCTTTTGAGTAGAACCCGTTCTGTTAAGACTCGATGAGTTAAGTCGTGCCATCCCTGTGAATAATAGATGAGACCCATAATTAAGAGTATTCATGTAACTAACCTAAATACGAGGTACTTTGTGGCCTGTGACACTGACCTGACCTAGACAAAAAGATGCTCATTTGTGGTTTCTTTCTCTTTTTTTTCTAAAGCTTACGAACTTTGGGAAAGGAGAAAAAAAAATTGAAACCAAAGTGTTGAAAGCCCCTAAGGGCCTGTTGTATGGTCAATCCTGGCTGAGCCGTAGAGGACAAAGTGGCTCTTAAACTTGTGTTAATTTGAAAGTACTCCACGAGAGGAGCCGCATAGTGCGGGGAGTTCAGTCTAACCCCATGCCCTGGCTCTTAGGGAGAGTTTGAGTAAGACCTGAGAGCGAGTTCAGCCTCCTAACTGGTTTGTCTCAAACAACTGCTGAACTTTTAACCTCCAGCCACTTATTAAAATTAAAGTGGAAAACTTACCCTGATTGTCAGCAGTCCTGGCTGGCACTCTGTGCTCTTTCTCGACAGCGGGGTTACATTTCGCAGCCCTGACATCACAGGGAACCAGTGTGGTTGCAGACTGGGCAGGGACTGAGGAATTACTATTCTGAAGGGACAGGCCAGGCTATCGCTGCTTTGTTGGAGGTCTGGCGGGGAACTGGCCAACATCTTTTCCTATAAGGCAAGGTCGGTACTCAATTAGCTTTGGAAATGAGGTGCTTGTTTCTTTTCAAGCAGCTCTTTCCTGCTCCTGTAAGGAATAGTTTGATCCCTCTGCTATGCAGGTGAATGAGGGCAGCAGGGGCAGAGGTGACCTGGTTCTTTGCCCTTCTAGGAGGAAAGGGAGAAGCGGCGACTGGAGCAGCTGGAGCGCAAGAAGGAACTGCAGCGTCTGCTAGAAGAGGAAGACTCAAAGTTGAAAGGGAAGTCGCCCAAGCAGGTCACTCCGGGCAAAGTCACCAGGGCCCAGATTGAGGAGACAATCAGAAAAGACCAGCAGCAGAAGGAGAATGCAGACACAGGTTTGGTGCAGCCCTTCCTTCTTTCCATAGAAGAAAGACCCTGACTGCCATGGGAGGCTGGGCAGCAGAAAGATCTGCTGTCCCTGAAGGAAAGGTGGTTTGAAGGCTAGAGCACCCTGCGGCTATTCTCTCAGTGCCGTGGGCTTTGCTGTGTCGGTGTCTAGCCCCACACATTGAAATGAGGAAAAAGAAATCTCTTCTCGCCTTTGAGGGAGAAGCAGAGAGCTGCAAAACAGGCACCTTTAATTTCCAGGACTGTGCCTAAAATGTGGCTGTAGATTTGAGTCTTGCCAGCGCTTTCTTCAAAGTGCTTGTCAGCCAGATGTTTGGAAGAGACTCTGCCTCTTCTGAAGGTTTTTTTACACAGATTTTTACACAGATTGAACTTGACTTCTAACATTTTCCCTATCCTCCTTCCTTTTGTGCAGTGGAAAAGGAGAAAACTCACTTGGAGGTTCCTTTGGAAGAGAACATCAACAGAAGGGTATTGGAGGAAGGAACAGTGGAGGCCAGGACAATTGAAGATGCCATTGCTGTCCTCAGGTACTTGGCTGCGTCACAGCAGTGCTCCCCTTTGAAGGGACGCTTTCCTTATGAGAAGTTCAGCAGACATTCCCTCCCCCAGAACTGGCATCCCAGCCCTGACCTTCTGTAGCGGGTTTTCAAAGTGGGTAGGGCCAAGTGTTGTAGGGTTTTCTACTTTATCGGTCAAGTTATTCTGTATTCACTTTGTTGCACTGACAGGGGATCAGAGCTGGGCGAGGGACTGGTGCCTGCAGGGAGGTGTCTCTGATGCATGTCTGTGTTTCTGACAGTGTTGCCAATGATCTGGACCGGCACCCGGAGCGCCGGATGAAAGCTGCCTTCACTGCTTTTGAAGAGGTCAATCTGCCGCGCCTGAAGCAAGAGAACCCAAACATGCGCCTGTCCCAGCTCAAGCAGCTCCTCAAGAAGGAGTGGATGAAGTCTCCAGAAAACCCCATGAACCAGAGGCACAAGGCTTACAACAGCCAAAAGTAGAACTAGAGCTGGTCATCCCCCACAGACAGTGGGCTGGAGCCCCAGGGCTTTGCTCAGATGAAAAAAAGAGGCACAAGGAGCCTCTTCTCCTTTGTTTTGCTTCCCTACCCCCATCTTTTTTCTTTTTCTCTTTTTGTGTTTAGCTAGCCTTGGGACCCTGCAGTGTCCTGCTCTTTTCACTCGGAAGGCCTGCCCCTCGCATACTCATCTCTCCTCAGGCAGCTGGTGCACAGTGACCTGGATGGACTAACACTACCTTTATGCTTTTGAATTTGGTTGTCGTATTACGAAAAAGCTACTAACTTGCGTACGGCTCTTCAGTATGGGCAGCGCTTGCACGATGCTCATCCGCACTGCTGCCTGCCAAGGTAGAGACCCCCATGCTGGCTAGCATCATGCATTTAACCCCCTCTCGCAGCCTGGACCTGAGCCAAAGTGCATTCATCCCTGTCTGTACCATGACTGCACTGCACCCTTGTTTGCAAGAATTCACCTTGCAGAACGCATCACGAGAACAGCACAAGGAAGGCACCTGTTTTCTGTTGCTCATGTCGTATTTGGCACTGGGATGTTTCTGAAGAGATTCCAGACTCAGATTGGTGTTGGCCCTGTGTCCTGCTGGCCGCTTCTCTTGATTTTGACTGGCAGCCCATCAGATGGGGAGGAGGAGCCACAATGTGAGTAGAAGCTCTGGGTTGTACGCAGTGTTGTATGGCAGAGAGAAATGTCTCGCTACCCCTTGAAGACAGAAGGTTGAAATAACCTGTGCACAGCACAGCACCGTCCCTGCCTTGTCTCTCTGCAGAGCACGAGGTGCCAGACTTCTCCGTGCATCTTGCCTGGTGGCCTTGCAACCCACGCACACGGGAGTCCTGAGCCACACGCCTCACTGGTGGGACAGGAGGGTTCCTGGTGGGGCTGTAACCCAGTGCTGCGCAAGAACTGTCCCAAGAAGGGAAGCTGCTGCTTCTCCCATCACTTCTCCCCCTACGTGCACACTGCCCCCCCCCAGCTCAGGGAAGGAAGTGCCCTGTGAGCCTGTGGAAAGGGGTGTGAAACTGTCAGCTCAGCAGCTTTCTCCTACCTCTGGACAGAAGGCACTAATCTGGCTCTGTATGCTGCCTGTGCTCCCCTTCAGCA